TGAGATTTCTTCTTATACCTGTTGGTTATCAAGAAACATATTGTTTAATGTCCATATGTTTTGAATTTCAAAATTTTCTTTTGCTATTGATTTATAATTTCATTCCAATGTGACTGGAAAGCACTTTGCATGACTTCAGTCTTTTCAAATTTAATGTGAGTTGTTTTATACTATAACATATGATCTCTCCTGGAGAATGTTCCATGTACATTTGAGAAGAATATGTATTCTGCTATTGGATGAAGTTCTCTGTAGATGTTTATTAGGTCTTTTGCTGTTTAATGTTATTGAAGTCTTCGATTTCCTTGTTGATCTTCTGTATAGTGGTCCTATTCATTATTGAAAGTGTATACAAAGTCTATTTTTTGTTAAATTTTTTATTTCTCTCTTTAGTTCTGTCAGTTTTTGTTTCATGTATTTTGAAGCTTTGTTGTTAGGTAGACTGATATTTGTGATTGTTATGTCTTGATTGACACTTCTATTATTATAAAATGTCTTTTGTTTGTCTTAGCAATTTTTATTCTAAAGTCTATTTAGTCTGATATTTATCTAACCTCTTCAGCTCTAACATAGTTACTGTTTGCATGGAATTTCTTTTTCCAGTATTTTACTTTCAACACATTTGTGTCTTTGATCTCAAATCATTGTCTTATGAACAATATATGCTAAGACCATTTCTTTCAAATTCATTCTGTCAATCTCTATACTTTAATTAAAGGATTTAATTGATTTTCATTTAATATAATTACTGATAAGGTAGGAATTGTATTTGCCATTCTGCTACTTATTTTCTCTGTGTCTTATGTCTTTGTATTTCTCTATTCCTTCATTATTGCCTTCTTTTATTTACCACTTTAATTACTTTGTAATTGATTTTTGAATTATTTTCCTAGCAATTGTTCTGAGAGTGGAATTCACAATTTGATTTACAGAACATTATTTTGGATTAATATTAACAATTTCAATAGTATACAATTTTTTTCTCCTCTATAGCTTTCTTTCCTTTTTCATTTGTTGTTCTTGGTATTGTATAAATTATATCTTTATACATTGTGTGATTGTCAACAGAGATTTACAATTATGGCTTTATGCAATTGTCTTTTAAATTAGGTAAGAAAAAAGGGTTACAAAATAATACATTTATACTTTTTAAATATTTACCTATATAGTTATTATTACTAGTTGTCTTTATTCCTCCATGTGGATTCAAGTTACTGTCTATCATTCTTTTCTCTCAATCTGAAGGATTTCCTTTAGTGTTTCTTCTAGAGCAGGTTTATCTCAATATTTGATTATCTGAGAATGTCCTAATATCTCTATTGTTTAAGTTATGGTTTTGCTCGATATAGGATTCTTGGTACTTTTCTTTTCTTTCTGTATTCTGTGTGTGCTTGTATATACCTTCTGGTTCCCATTGTTTTGATGGAGAAATTATCTGTTAATCATATTGAAGATCCTTTGCATGTGAAGTGTCACTTCCGTCTTGCTGCTTCCAGGATTCTCTGTCTTTGACCTTTGACAGTTTGATTGTGATGTATCTCAAGTATATATCTTTGAGTTTTTACAACTGAGATTTCTTGAGCTTCCTCAATGTGTAAATTAATGATTTTAAACAAATTTTGGAAGTTTTTTCAGTAATTTTGAATATACTTTCTATCTCTTGGCTCTCTTTTCTTCTTTGGCTACTTTAACTTTTGTATGTATATTGGTATATTTCATGGTATGTCACGCAACTGTGAAGCTCTGTTCACTTCACATTGTTTTTTCTTTCTATTCTTTAGTGTAGATAATCTCAGTTGACTAATCTTCAGGTTTGCTGATTCTTTCTTCTGCCTACTCAAATCTGCTGTTGAGCCCAGATAGCAAAAAATTTTATTTCAGTTATTGTACTTTTCAACTGTAGAATTTCTAATTGAGTTTTTAAAATAATTTTTATCAGTTTCTATTTGCTAAAACATTATTTTAATTCTTTGCTTTAGTTCTTTAGATCCTTGAACATATTTAAAATAGCTGAATGGGTTAATAAATAAAATGTCTAGTTTCCCTCTGACACTATTTCTATTGATTGCTTTTTTATTCTGTATAGTCTATACTTACTTAATTCTTTGAATGTCTCATTTTTAGTTGTTGTTGAAAACTGGACATTTTAAATATAATGCATTTATACTGAACATTATATTTTCACTTCTCCTCGGGATTTGTTTTTATTGTTGTTTGCTGAGGTAGTAACTTCGATTTTGTTGTTTTTTGTTTAATGAACTTTCTAATGTCATTTGGTGAAGTCTGCTTTCTTTGTCACGTGCAGCCCTGAAGTCTTTTCAGCTTAGGGTCTGTTAATCGTTGGATAATAATCCTTAAAATCTGAAAACAATTTCTTTCTGTCTTTGCAGAAATGTTCTGTGTGCTTCTTTAGGTTCACCTTCAATAAGCAACCAGGCACTTAACAACTCTGCCTTAGTATTGTTTTGTTGTTGTTGGTGTTTCTTGCTTTTCAAAGAGCCTCAAGATCAGCAGGCAAGGAGAGGTTAAATGGCTTCTCAGGTATTTCCAGAACATGTGAATACCCTGGACTTTCACACATACCTGGATATTTGCAGCCTTCTACATTCTCAGGAATATGTTGGAGCTTTGCAAAACTACTATGGATATAATTTCATCAACTTCCCCTTTTTAGTTTATTAGTTAGTCTGCTGTTCCAGTTTTTAGCCACTGTCTCAGGTGGCCACAAAGTTAATCAATTGCCTGTAATTTTTTTGGACAACCATGTTCTGGGGAAAAAACTTTTCTGGGTTAGAGTGTTTGTGCTGGTGAACTCTGTATCAAATCAAATGCAGACATCCTTGCAAATGGAAGTTTCCATAAAAACCACCAGACAGGTCAAATAAAGACAATATTTTGAGAATGAGGCTTTGAAAGCGTTCTAGCCTGATTCTGCTCTCTTTGGTGGCTGCCAGACGGCTGTTTTTCACCATAAATTATTATTTGAGGCTTCTGTGGAGCTGAAGAGAAGGACTAGAAGGTGAAACAACACAAAGTACACTCTGCTTACTAAGACTAGAGTATTTTTATTAAATCAGTGCTCCCTAGATCGTTGCAAGCCTTTGGCTAATTTTGAGTGCTGACAGGCTGATTTGACATTTTTTGGCCAGTTTGTTTTAATTGCATTTATACGGGAGGGAGTTTTCAGAGACTCCTGCTTCACTGTTTTCATTGATGTCTCTGCAAAGACATAATCTAGGAATGCTGGCTTTTTATTTTACATTTTTTTTCATGGTCTTTTTCATTCAATTTTTGTTTATGGTGTTTTTTGCCACATACTATTATAAAATGTGCTGCCAAAACCCATCAACAGATCTCTTGGTTTACTCGACAAGGTTACACTCTCCTTTAGCCCAAGATTATTCAAATGAAATCTTATTGATTACTCTAATTTGAACTGTTCTGTGTTTGCGTTTAGACTTTTATTCATCTCAAACTTTACTTTTGTTATATATGAGTTAGATGTGAGATATAGAGACTATTTTGAATTTTTTTAAACAGAGATTTCACATTATTCCAATTCCATTAATTAAATAACTTCTTTCTCACTGAATTCAGATATCATTTTTTATTTTTTTTTTAATTTTTTATTGGATTATAGGTTTTGGGGTACATGAGCAGAGCATGCAAGACAGTTGCGTAGGTACACACATGGCAGTGTGCTTTGCTTTTCTTCTCCCCTTCACCCACATTTGGCATTTCTCCCCAGGCTATCCCTCCCCACCTCCCCCTCCCACTGGCCCTCCCCTTTTCCGCCCAATAGACCCCAGTGTTTAGTACTCCCCTTTCTGTGTCCATGTGTTCTCATTTTTCATCACCCACCTATGAGTGAGAATATGCGGTGTTTCATTTTCTGTTCTTGTGTCAGTTTGCTGAGGATGATGTTCTCCAGATTCATCCATGTCCCTACAAACGACACGAACTCATCATTTCTGATTGCTGCATAATATTCCATGGTGTATAATATTCATTAGAATTTATTTCTGGCCTCTAATTTTTCCTTCTCATCTTTATTATGATTAGGAAAATAAATGTTACTTTAGTATAGTGGTATTATAGGATGTTTTAGTATCTGGTGGCAAGTTTCCAATATTTTGTTTTTCAGTACCTTTTAGCTAGTTTCAGATACCTTTCTTCCTCATGAACTTCATTTAATGCAGTTAAAAAAGAATACTCCATTTTGCTATATTTTTACACTAATGTTGGGAGAACACATATTATATTCATTAAACTTTTTTGTAACAAATCATCCTTTTCATGTGAAACTTGATTTAGGGTTTTTAATAATAGTTTTTGTTTACTTTATATAGGTCCTCTTCTTTTTGTCAAATTTGTTCCCAAATAATTTATATTTTTGACAAAACTTTTAAAGCATTTATTTCATATTTTAAAAACAGATTATTACTTTTATAGGTAAAAGCTATTCATTTCTTAATTCTTATATCTAGCCATTTTACCAAAATTATTTATGATTGTTTTAAACAGAATAATTCTATTTTTTCTAGGTATTTAATCATGTTGTCTGAAGTTGAGGATATATTAACTATTTATTTTCATATTATAATAGCAATATTTGATTTTATTATTTGTGTTTACCTAGTCTTTCCCAAAGCATGATTAATAATGGTGGTAAAAGACAATATGGTCTTATTCTTGAGTCTAATGAGGATACAATCAGTATTTTATAATTTGTTTTGGTATATGTTATTGTTTATATTATATAAATTATGAAAACTAAATAGTGAGTGAATTTATTAAACGACTGTGCAAAGTGTTGGTATATTTATGTTATTTTCTTTTTTAACTTGTTGATATGATGAATTATTCAGAATTTTCTAATATTTTTCAATTTTTGTGTAACTGAAACACATTCTACTTTATCATGCTTAATCTATTTTTTACCTAATAGAAGGATGAAAAGCTACACAATTCACTTATATTCTGTATTTCTGTTTTCTTAGCTGGAAGATTTGAGAAGAGTTCATGATCAACTCACCTGGAAGAAAAAAAGTCATGAAAATCAGTATCTGGAATCAGTTAGTGGTTTTTATGCTGCAGTAAGTTGACTTTTTCCTATTTCCTACTTAGAACGTTATTCTCTATTTCCAAATATTGACTCATGTATCTAAAAATGATTTCATTATTATGCCGTCTTCATTTTGATAATTATACATGTATGAATGATTCTTTTCTTTTCTTAAAGAAAAAAACATGGGATATTGAGCTTTCTGATATTGCAAAAGATTATTCAGATATTTCCTTCGCATGTACGCAACTGATGGAAGAAAATCAAAAACTTGAGATTGATATTAACACAATGACAGAAAAAATCAATGAAAGGTAAATTTAAAAATACTTTTTTTCTTATACAATATAATCCAATATGTTAAATATAATCAATCTCTCCAGTTTGTGTCCCTTGAGTGATACGGTGGTGTTTTGATTCTTATTAACTTAAAATTTCAGTTCTATTCAAAATGTTGCCTTTAATCACACTGGATTCCCTTTGAAAAGTCCAAATAATTTCAAAAAGTTATAAGAAGCTTTACACACCCTAACTTCACCCGTTTTTAAAAATATATATATTCTCTTATACTCAAAAATACTTTAGACTTGAAATACAGTAGCCCTCACCTTAACCATGGGAGATATGTTCCAAGACCCATAGTGAATTCCTGAAACAACAGATAGTACCACTTATAGCCCTATAAGTACTACAGTGTTTCAATCTGATAACTGAGCTGGCTACCAAGTGACTGACAGGTAGCATACACAGCATTGATATGCTAGATAAAGGGATTATTCATATCTGGGGCAGGAAAGCATGAGATTTCATCATACTTAGAACAGTACACAATTTAAAACTTATGAATTGTTTATATCTGCAATTTGCCATTTTTAACCTTTTCAGACCCCAGTTGACTACAGGTAACTAAAACTGCAGGAATCAAAACTGCAGCAGATATGGAGGAGTCTTATCAAGCTCATGATCTCCTTAAGTTCACTCTGAATTTTTCCCGCAACTACTATACTAGTATTTTTGGTTTGGAAATCTATGAGTTTTCTTGACTCCTCTTTCTATTGCAACCCTCATATTTAATGTATGAACAAAAACTAATCCACATACTAAATGTATTTTCAGTCTATTCTCTTCATTACTCCACCAACAATCTAGTACAAGCTATCAACATGTCTGACATGAATTCACAATGACTAGCAGAACTGATCTACATGCAATCACTTTCTAATCCATTATCTACATTTTGATAGGAGTGTTGTTATTTATCTTAACATGAGTATGATCAATTCCTCTCTATATCTGCACTAATTTTAACAAGGGTGAAGGGACAAAAGTTCCCTTGAATAGGCATATCTGCTTCTACACTCTCATATTCTTCCCAGTTCACCCTTATTACTTGGTTCAAATACAGTAGTATTACTTCCATTTCTTACACTTGTCGCTCTTTTTCTAGCCCATACATGGTATTTTTATGCTACTTTCTTTTCTTAGGATGTTTTTAACACTTCCTTCTACCTAGTTGCCACTTATCCTTAAGGTTACAGCTGAGGAGTTAGTTCTGGTAAGCTTTCACTGTCTTTTCTATGAAATTCAGTTCCTCTATTATATGTATATGTGGTACACATGGCTCTCTTTCTCACACATCTTCTCATATTCATAATTTTCATATATGAATATTTGATTTATTTCTGTCTTCCTCAAAAGTGGAAAGATCCATGAGGTCAGACCATGACTACTTTTCTTCACTATTGAATCCTCATCATATAGCAAAGGGTCTGACACATGCTATGCTATCAGGAAAAAGGTGACAATGATACTTGATGATTGTACTGGAAGTTTGACAAAGTTTCTTAAGATTCTTTTACCTTTGGAAATGATGGAATGGAGCAGTTTGTAATACTTACTTGTATGTTAAACGTACAAGAATAACACAAAACTGTAGTTGCTAATATTACTACATTTTATTATTTTATTTTATAAAGAAAAAGAACCCGAGGAGCAAAAGCAAACAAACATCTGAAGAGTGGGTGAGCTAATAAGGACACCCATCTGGAGGAAAGGAAGTGTGTGTGAGTTAGCACTTAGATTATTCTGCAGTAACATGTAACCCCCAAATCTTAGTGGCTCAAAATAAAAAAGGTTGATTTCTCACTGACATTGTAATTTAGCTGGTAATAGAGGGAAATGTACATTAGTGAGATCACTCAATGGCTCTTATAGCTTCCACAGGAAGGTGATGCATGTTAATACCACTCACATTCTTTTGAACAAAGCAAGTCACATGACAAGGTCTGATGTCAGTGGGATGACAAGTCTAATTCTCTCAAGAATAGATATAGTGAATAATAGGGAACACTAGCAAGTCTATCACAAGCTGTGGGAATACAGCTCTATTTATGGGGGAGGATTTCCATGGTGCATAACTTACCCAGAAAACATCTTGAGACATTACTTAATTATTTAATTATCTTCCAATTTTTACCAGAAGTTAAAAATTAAATGGATAATTTCTAACAGTGGATTACATGTTACTGAACAGAGAATTAATAAATGATCAGTAAAATAAAGTGAAAGAGGGATTAAGAGATTTGCCAGCAAGAGTCGGGTCTACCATATATCTAAGTCATGTTCCTAAAGAAGAGAAGATAAAATACAGGACAAAGAGATAATTGCCAATTCATATATTAAAACAGTTTTTATATTCTTGTTTCTAGCTGGTAACTATATATATATGTATCACATGTATATATGTATGCAAGTAATTATATCTATTTCGATTATTTGCACATTTAAACTGGCACATCTACATATATGTGGCAAATATAATTGCATTACCAATGTATACAAGTGTAATTTTTCATTTCCTAAAGTTTTATTTGTTTTTCTTCCAAATTTGCTAGGTCATTTTATGATTTTTTGTTTGACACAGATATTTAAAGCTTATCTTTTATCTCTTAAACAGTGTGAATAATTATAATCTATACCTAATAATTTAAATATCTGAGTTTTTGTAATTTTTTTCTGCTTCTTATTCATCCAGCTTATGCTTCAGTGCCTTTTTCACTTGTATTCTTGGTTATTTTTTTAAAACCATGTGTAGTCCATTCACTTCTGAACACTATTTGCAGAAAATCTTTGAGTCCTAGGATAAAGTTGGGTTAATCATTGCAACCTTACATTTATAAGAAGGTTCTGTTTTTCAATTTGTGTCCTTGGATATGCTCTAGACTATGATTTTGTTTCCTAAGTTATATTTAACAAAGCTTCATTTAACCAAAAGTTCCAGTGCCTTAAGAGCAATAATGTCTTCTCTATTTAGCACTCTGAATGTAACATGCTTGTTGTAAGAAATTTGGAAAATACAGAAAGTGAAAAAGGAGATTGAGACCCTAACATTGTTTCAATTCATAGAAATATAGCTATGAATACATTGCTAATTTTTTTCCTTCTTACTGAATAATTAATTGTGAGTTTTGATGTTATTCCCTACATGATATAATAGATCTTTTTTTACCATATAAAACAACTGTTAAATAAAACATTTATGTATTAGAACATGGAATTCCAAACAATATTCAAAACTATGATTTATGTAATAATTGCTTTTATTTAGATTGCTCTCATTTTCACTATTTGTTGTGAATATTATGACAGTGGATTATTTTGTTTAGAAATCTTTATCAGTATATTGGATTTTAAAATTTAAAATAGTTTTATGGAATTTGATTCAGTATAATACTTTTAAAACTCCCATTTCACCTCTACATCTACTTTCCAGAAAGACAATCCCATTCAGAAGGCTGTGCAGTACATGAGCCTGTTTTCTCACACACCTGTGAATGAAGATAGTTTTCATTCATCATAGTGGAATATGATAATGTTGTTTTGAACCCCATTTATTTGATTAGTAGTGAGGTCGAATATTTGCACATCCTCTATTGAATTCTACTTTTCCTAAATAGTTCTTATATGTTTCCAAGGAAGAAATGAGGAAGTCAGAGTTCTACCGAGCAAAAAGAGCTTTCCTAAAGCCCCACAGCTGGAATTCAAAATATGACTTTCTGTATTCAGGTTCAGAATATTAACCTCCTCTCGTTTTTTGCAGTTTAATCTGACTTAAATTTAACCAACACTTAGTAAATGTTCAAATACACTCAATATATCAGTCCGATAATAACAATTACAAATAGTAGATCTAATGTTAAAATTGCTGTTATTAATATTTTGGGGCACAGATAAGATGGTGGTGGGTTCACAGAATGACACTTTTGGTGTGGCTAGAACTTAGAGCAAGTACATGATCTGACCTATTTGCTTGTGTCTGTGTGTGTGTGTGCATGTGTGTGTCTGCGTCTGTGCATGCAGTACGTGTTTTTATGTGGCAGGCCGTCAGGAGAAAACACTGAGGCTAAGGAAATACCATAATGAATCATTTTAAGGTGTTTGGATTCAGCTAAAGACTGTAGATGTCCACTAAAGAAGTCATATGATCAGACTTTCCTTTTAAAGATGTCATTTTAGTGGTATTTGGATGAGTTAAGGTTTGAAAAGCTAGTTTGATAACGGTACCAGACATTAAATGAAAAATGTGTAGATGAACAGAAGGAAGGTTGGAGGGTGAGTGCTGCTGTGTTTGATTGGGATTGTGTATGGTGCAATACAAGTTTAAGCATCTGGAAATCACTTTGATTTGTGAGTCTGAAATTGTGGAAACATGATCTAGGACAGATGTTAGATATAAAATGCAAAGTATTTTAAATTGTCAGGCAAGTATTTTCGTGTTTTTTTCTTCATCTCTTTCTTAAAATTTTGAATTTTTGTAGATAGAACTTGTTTGGAAAAATTATAACACTTGGCAATATTATCAGTAAAACATAAAGATTCTCCAATATCTGATAGGGCAGAATCAAGAATTATAGTTAATGGCCCCATCTACTAACCCATAGTTTGGTTTTTCATGAAATCCTGAATATCTACTTAGAAAATATAAGGGAAAACCTCATTCATTAGAAAATTAAACCCAAAATGCAATTAAGAAGACATACATAGGAAGTAGGAAGTTTCTGTGGAGAGAGTACCAAATGTGATTAACATGTACTTTAAAAATGAATAAATAGAGGGGTGTGTCAAAAATTTGAATATGACCCAATTCGGAGCAACTGTCAAATTCTTTTTTTTTTTTTTTTTTTTTTTTTGAGACGGAGTTTCGCTCTTGTTACCCAGGCTGGAGTGCAATGGCGCAATCTCGGCTCACTGCAACCTCCGCCTCCTGGGCTCAGGCAATTCTCCTGCCTCAGCCTCCGGAGTAGCTGGGATTACA